GCTGGTGATCAATAGGAGGAAAACAAGATGGTTGAAAGTAGAATCGGAGAAGAATTTCAGTGGACTAATAATGCAGAGAGATTAAGAAGATGCACGAACGCCGCTGTTTACGACACCCAGCCATATCACTGTGTCTCTAACCATCGGTTACGATTATCCCTAGGTCCCCAGCCAGGGATCCTAATACGACCTATGTGACCAAGTCTCCTGGTTATGGTTTTCATACCCTCGTGCCAGGTCTTAGCTTGACCACCCTTGACTTTCTTCCATCCCCTACCTGCCTCGGCGAACACCGTTTGCCGTGGCACCTATCTAGTGACATGCGTAACACACCCCAACCAACGTAATCTTTAGAGGTCGATCATTTGCTCCAGTGGGCGACCGCGGTTGACTCAAACTTTGCGCCTGATCTCATCATTACTCGTTCGGCTGCCCCACCAGGTTCATGCAATGCTGCGTGGACAGCGCTGTTCAAACACAGACAGTCTATCTTTATCCTGTTTTCTTAATGGCCAATTTTCTGCTCCATATAGCAGAACAGGCCGAACTGCTGCAGCATACACTCGACCCTTCACGGACAGTCGGATGTCGCGTCGGCGCCACGGATGTCTCAAGTTGGCAAATGCCAACCGAGCCTTCTGTATGCGAGCAGGGCAATCCGGCGGATATTTATCCCGATTTGGAGTCCCCTATACGAGATCGATTGTGATCCCCTAACGGTAGAGGAAGTAACCGCAGTGATCGGTTGATTAAAGTCTGGCAAGGCCGCTGGTGAACGCGGAATCCCGGCAGAAATATATTAAACCGCTTTACTCTCTCGCTCTATTCGGGAGACTGAAACATGTCCAAATGATTGAAACATCTCGGTTTTGCTTCCGTTCCCCAAGAAGGGCGACAAGACACTATGAGAGAATTATCAGGGCATCAGCCTGCTAGACGTGGCTGCAAAAGCGTTCGCCCAGCTCGTGCATAATCGTTTTGCTACAGTGAGACATGCACGTACTCGGCCAAGTCAAAGAGACTTCCAACCTGGCAAAGGTTGTGTTAATCAGATTTTCATCCTAAGGCGAATTCTGGAACACCGATACAGGTTTCAGCGCCCCACCGCTACATGCTTCATTGACTTCCATACCGCATTCGATTCAGTGGACCGCGAGTCATGCTTGCAGATGGCGACCCTGCAAAGTTGGTCAATATAGTGAGATCGTATTACACCCAAACCAAAGCCCGTATCCGTGCCTACGGTGAAAAGTCTCATCCTTTCGATCTGAGGTCAGGAGTAAGACAATGATGCCCGCTATCGCCAGTTTTGTTCAACTTCGCGAATGATTGGATTCTGCGTCCAAGTTTCCTCAGATTGCTGGATTACTGACCTCGAATTAGCGGATGACGTGGTAGTTCTTGGAGAGGACCTGACCGTTTTGCAAACAGCTCTCAACCGTATCAAAAGGTTTGCTTCTGAGGTCGGCCTTGAGATTAATCCTAACAAAACTAAGATGTTCGCTACTCCAGTTGATCAAGCGGAACATTCCATGCAGCTGGATGGTCGGACAATATAAATCGTATTGAACTTCAAGTACCTTGGGTCCACCATCCTGCCTAGTGGACAAACCAAAGATGATGTACAGCGGCTCATCGACACGGCCCGAACGGCGTTTTTGCAGCTCCTATCTGGCCGGAACGAGATCAGTCTCAAAGCCAGAAGTTCGACCAGCCCTAGTATACGGCTGCGAAACCTGGCCGCTTAGAGCTGAGGACATCCGACAGTTGGAGGTCCTTGATCAGTGGTTTTTTCGATTCATCCTGAAAGTAAACTGGCGGTACAGAGTCTCAAACTCGGACCTCAGAAATCGGTGCCACATTACCCGTTCTTCAACGCACATACATCGCCGCCGAATGCAATGTCTGGGCCATGTTCTCCGCAGACCCGACGACACTTTTATAAGTATTGTCTTAGCTTCGACACCATGTCCTGGCTGCCGCCGCCGACTGGGGAGCAAGTAAAAACCTGGCTGGACACTGTATTCGAAGACGTCGACCATTTTGGCCTTCGGACTCTGTGCGGCACCCGCCGATGGAAAACAAACGGGATCAACATTTATAAGGATCTTGCAGCCAACCGCCAAACATGGGTAGCTGCAATCAAAGACATTCATGAGGCCGGCTTACCTTTCCAAGGAGCCAGCCGTAGTAAAGTAAGTTCGATTATGGTGAAACAAACAAAACATTGTTAGTTTCATTATTCGCCTTAACTGTCTGACACCTTTTACTCTGCTTTGTATCCCAACTTTCCATGTTCTGTTATTCTTGTTGTTATGTCGACACCAAGCTTGCTCGCATGCCATCTCACCGAATCTTTCTCCACCGTTTGAAGCTCTTCCTCGTCGTCGATGCCTGTTCAAACTAGCCTCATTCAACATGCTTACTCATATGCGTTTACCACGAGAGGCGTGTTTGGGTATGGAATGGGCAGCGGGAGATAAGCTGCGCTATTTAGAGTACGATGACGATATCTTTTACCTGTTCGAATGTATGGAGGATGCACAAAGAGCACTTGATAGGTTAGAAAGTTCTGTCGTTCCGTTCGCCATGTGCTTTGCACCTTCAAAGTGCAAAGTGATGCTGCAAGACTGGGTGTCGCCGAGTTCCGTTCTGAAACTAGACGGTCAGGAATTAGCTGAAGTTTACTGCTTCTCGTATCTAGGTAGCTGCATGACCAACGACGATAGCGCGTCCAAGGAGATAACCGTCCGAATTTCCAAGGCTCGAGCAGCGTACGCAGGACCGAAACACCTTTGGCTTAGACTCTATGTTTCACTGAATTTTTATGTATTTGAATGTGTATAGTGCTACCATTCGTTCAGTTCTATTTTATGGTTGTGTGACCTAGAGTCTGCGAGTTGAAGATATCCGTCGACTAGAAAGACACGCCAGATTCTCTTATTGCTAGACCCACTAAAGCCACCTGGACCCGACGGGATTTCTCCCATTGTCCTCAAAATGTGCACCCCAGAATTGGCTCCCCTCTTACCTCGCTTATTCAATCTTTCATTTCCGAGACATTCTCAACCCCATGGAAAATATCATAACTATTTCCCATCCCCAAATGCGACGACTACTCTGACCAAAACAACTACCGCCCCATCTTTCACACCAGCCATTTCGAAGGTCATGGAATCAGTTGTTACTGATCAACTCCGCCACCACCTGGAGCAGAGCAAGTTGCTTAGCGACCGCCATTACGGTTTCCGATCCCATCGATCTGCCGTTGATCTTCTGGTGCTCATTTCACATATGTGGGCAGCGGCACTCTACAACCACGGAGTAACCCATGCGGTGTCGTTGGATGTATCAAAAGCTTTCGGTGGTGTCTGGCACCCGGTCTGCTAACTAAACTACCCGTTTGGCTTTACTTCGGAACTTGTATTCTGGACAGCAAGCTATCTGAAGGACCGCAGCATCTCCTTTCGAGTAGATGGGAACATATCTTGTTCCGTGCCTGTGAATGCTGGTGTTCCCCAGGGCTCTGTATTTTCCCCTTCCCTTTTTGATGTTTATTGATGACCTTGTTTCTGCAAATTCAAATCTTATTCTCACCTTTGCCGATGACGCTACCTTATATTCTTTTCTGTCCTATTCCTCTTCGCGCATCCCTAACTTGAGCATTAGTGGCGATCATTCCTCCCTTAGTTTCTCCCTAAATTCGGATCTGAGCCTTATTTCTGCTTGGGGCTGTCGCAACCGTGTTCTCTTCAATACCGGTAAAACTTCCTTTATGCCCATTTCTCTTAAACGCACATCTTTCTCCTCTTCCTTGAATTTTAACTCGAACATTCTCCGTTCTGCAGATTCATGCAACCTATTGGGACTTTACTTATCTTCTCTTTCATGGTCAGCATATATTTATCTGCTTGTTTCGTGGTGGTGGGACCACAGGGTCCTAAGCTCACCGGTAACAACGGCTAAATCACTGCACCACCACCACCACCACCCGTAGCCGTTCACACGGTATCATTCCTTCGAAGTCAAACCGGCAGTACTATGACCAGCATCAACATCATCATACAGCAAAATACAGGAAAAAGAAGTTCGTGGATCGTTACCAAACTCGGAATGCATTCAAAGTTAATGAGAATAATTAGGGTGGACATATATATTTCACACACGTCTGAGGCCGGACTGTGTGCCAAACAAATCGTGGTACAACAATCTTTATAAAAGAAAAACGCCCCACGATTTGAAGGTGAGCCGAATACTACCAGGTTGCCCAGGCCAAAGCAGGTGAATTATCTTGAGGAATCCACAACCGGGGCCTTTGGCTAACCAAAGTATGACCCGCAAGGCAGCGGAACGGTGTACGAAAACTGCAATCCATTGGGGGCCGGTGTCCAGTTCATCGGATCATACGCCCTTTGGACGGGGTCAAACGTCCGAGGTGCCCAGTACATCTCGATACCCAATTAAGCCGGTGACCATTGCCACAACCGGAAGGGTGTGGGTGTGGACAGTCGGGTGTCATGGTAGTACCACAAGTGTCGCAGTTTGGTAAAAGACGCACTTGCTTCGATTTTCGCGAAAAACTCCAAATCAAGAACTCCATCGTCTATCAGACCGGACACAGCGTCCTCTAGATCCGCCTCTAAGGTAAAGTTGAACAGCAATGGAGGTATAAAGTAACCCTACCGCAATCCCCTGGAGACGGTGAAAGCTGGTTATAGGCCCTAACCCGACCTGAAGTGCGAAGGTAACTCTTTGAGGATCAAGACGTAATCCATTTCTAAGCGAGTAAATCCATGGTAGTTTTAGTTTCAGCTTTTACAACCGTTAACCATACACTTTCGTACACTGCTCCAATCGATTCAATCGGAGGTTGCATGACTGTCTAACGCAATAATCGTTGGTATAGTAAGCAAATCGGTGTTCCAGCAGCTGTTGGAGAGGGAAGATTTGATTGCTACATCTACAACCGGTACAATCTACCTGTACATACATACCGTTTCAAGCATCCTGACATGATAAGAAGTGACAAGAACGCCACGGCTGTCAGTTCGCTATCATATCCTTCAATGTCTCCAACCAACCGGTTGCGGAGGCGCGTGACACCTATCTAATCATCCTGTGCTTTGTTTCATGCTTCGTCACGACGTCATCTGTTGACCTTCATGGGGTTTGTTCCAGTCCCTAGCGGCAACAAGGAATAAAGCACGGAGCGGCAAACGGCAGTTGGGCATACGCAATACGTGCCCCAGCCAGCGAAGTCTACTAATCTGAATTCGCTGAACTAGAAAGTTTATCCCAGATAAACTCCTAAACACGGTGGCTTACCTCCAGATTACTAACCCGTTCGCCCCGTCCCACGTGGGCAAAACTACGTAAACGCCAATGATATTTTTATTGCACGAAAGAGAATACAGAAAAGAGATAAACCCCATGATCCGAAGGTATGCTGTAAGTGAGAAGGTAAGGGGAACATTCAAGCCTGAACCAGTTTGTGATTCTGCATTTAATGTGAAGGATGTTGTACGTTGGAGGGAAGACTGAAACGGGGAGAATGTTCCACAGTTGTGCTGTAATTGGGGAAAAAGATAATTTTTGGCGTTGTGGGCTGTTGTACTACTCGGTCTCCCGGTCCAGAGTAGGCTTTGTTCGAGGTTACACTCTAGCCTTTGCGCAGCCAAGCGCGGAATGTAAGGCAGCAGCGATGTTCCAAACGAGCCGGTGGCCAGTAGTTGGCTCATTCGCCTCTTCTGGAAAACCTTGCCGAACAAGGGACAAGGGGAAATAGCCATTTTTAGTGGTGGGCCACACTCGCCACATCACAGCGCTGTCCACAGATACGTGTGGTGCTTTGTGCGGAATACTCTTGCCAGGAGATAAATCCACCACATCCTCGAGCGCTGCTGCTGATCGTCCGCGACCGCTTATTCGGAATGACGAAGTCCACCTTATTCACGGTTAGCCGTGAGTTGACGGCCGTTCCCTTATCCGCGACCTGGGG